TCTTAACTAAAATGACCATGGTGAGACAGAGCGAGTCTCTCTAACAGGAAGCATGAAAGACGAGGCCAGAATGTTCCGTGTCCCCATTCCTCAGGGCTGCCAAATGTTCCGAGACTCTTTTATCGTATCTTCGTATAGTTCTTCTGATGCAGGTCTTGTCGCAGTTTTTGCAATCGATCTTATAACTTTCAAAGATGTTCAACTCCGTCGTCCTCTCGGGTTAATGAAAATTCCAATGAACCACGAATCTTGTAGCAGACTGAAAAACCTATTACCGAAGAGATTTGGAATAACGGGGATCAAGAAAATGCGGTCTCTCTAACTGTTGGACATTAACCGTAAAAGTCGGTTTCAATAAGTGTCTTTCTATGATTTATTTCATAAATCATAGAGCCCTGTACTGTAGCCATTTTTAATTAAGAAATTTTGTAGATATTCAATTTCTGCTTGACAAGCAGAATCAGCTGTGAAAGCGCTTGGTGACTAAGTCTTATGTCATTTACTATGTCGTTAAAAGTAATTTAGGACGCAAGTCGTTAGGTGTAAGAAAAGTGCCTGTTAAAATTGTGAGGTTTTCGATAAACCGCCAAAACAAACGGCTTTTTGCTTTTCACACTTTTATACTTCACCAACAAGTTCAGGAAGATGATCTGACCTTAATGTTTTTTCCATGATAATTATTGGTAATTTTTCTGAAGCCCTGGAATGAAAAATTCACAGTTTCCAGACCCACTTTGAATATCAAGAGCAGATCTTTGACTACAGTTTGTTTTTCCATTTGTTCTTAATGCTCTCCACTACAAGTGTAAGAATGTCACTCACTGGGGATGAACATACAACTAAACATATTGCTTTATGAGTTCAGGTATAAAAGTAACTAGATTTAGTCTGGAATAACACTGCCGTTATAACAAATGATCCAAACAGGTCACAAAGCATATTATGCGGCAATGCAGTACCACCACTTGTCTCCATATGAGGGAAGGAACCATTCAAGCAGGCCGAAGCAGCATGGTATTTGGGCACCTGCAGAGCGTGAATGTAAAATGACGTCGCATCACAGTATTAGTTGGAACAAGGTGCACACATATTGTAAATACAACAGAATCTTATTATCGAAACAAAACAGTTTTTTATAGACAATGCAAATCAATTATTTGGCCAATCAGATGACTGACCATCACCGAAGTTTCGGCTCGTCTCTCGCGGGCCTTCTTCAGGCTGGTCCGCGTTGGTTTCTGTAGCTGGTTGTGGAGTCCGCAGGCGTCGTGGCG